TATGGAATCTGATGATGAGTGGATCACTGAAAAAAAAGATGCACTCCTTCCTGAGGACACTACTTGGATGAATGTTGATGAATGTTTTGAGGTTCAAGAAAGGACTAGCAAAAAGAGAAAGAGAGGTAATTAAAATGTAGTGGTTGTTTTTTCTTCTTCTCCATTACTTTGAATTTTATTTTTTTTATATTTTGTATTGGTTGCTTTGTAGGGCCTAGAAATCTTATTTTATACAAGAAAAAAGGAAAGCAAATAGTTCAACTTGAAGATGAGGATGAGGATGGATGAGGATGAGGATGAACAAATACAAGAAGTTGAAGATGATAAAGGAAGTGAAGACTTGTTGGCATCCGATCACAATGATGATGATGATGATGCATTTTCAATTGAAGTTGAAGATTGAGTTCAAAATGGATGTTAGAAATTTGGATTAGAAGTCTCTTTGGTGTTTAAAGTTTGAATTAGTGAACTATGGTTGTGAACTTTGCATTATAATAGTAGTGGATTATGTTGATAACTTGAATAGTTTGTGGAGTATTAATGAAATGCTATATTTTTTATGAGTGTATGACTTTTTTTCAAAGGTATATATATTTTATTATTATTTATTTAAAATTGCATCGTATCTTACGATACACGATACGATACAATATTTGTATCTTACGATACGTCTTCCGATACACGATTTGATAACTATGCCCACAAGACATACAAGTTTACTTTCGTTTGCACATAACGCAATGTAAGAAATGACACACGAGCTACAACACTTGTACAAGAATGAAATGAGTCATGCACGAGCTCATATTTAGCTCATGATTGCTAAATTGCCCTCCCCAAGTGATATAACTAAATATAACTTGTAAGTATTCATGATATTTATTACATGAAAATGTTAAGAGTTTACTGTATCCAAAACTAGTGCTACAAGTTAATGCCCTCAGGACTCTTTAAATACTTTAGGAATGATCAAGAAAGGTAAATATTATTAAAGACATGGTCACAAAAGTGGAAAAAGAAACCCGAAAAATATGAATTTTGAATAAATGGACTAAACGGTTGGCAGGACTAGTCGACCTATTGATACTGGCATCCTAACCAATGGTCAACGGACGACCGGATATAATTCAAAAAAACAATTATCTTTTCTTATTTGAAATCCCTTGAAATCTAAATCATAAGGTATAATTCAAAAACCACACATTCCCTTCAGAAAATGATTCAAATAAAAACTTTACATGTAGAAACATTAAGTAATTCATGCATGTTTGTCAAAACCACATACTCCCCAACCCCCTTATATATATGAAAAATCAGATGACATGAAGTACTTAGGAAGTATTTTGAGGGGGAAAAAAAAAAAAGAGGTCACCAAAACACAACAAGAGCCACTTACCTTACAAAACCATGGCAATACTCCAAATAACAAAATGCCAGAATCTATCAATATTGTAACAAACTCATGAACAAAATGGAAGTGGCTGAAAGAGAAAAATGGAAAATCAAATAACCAAAATAAAAGAGATTATGTTAGTCAAAACGATATGTAAAATCATTGCAGGGAAAGTTGATAACAGCCCTAGCAACTCGGATAGGTAGAAATGAAAGAAAAAAGAAACAAACATTTTTATCAAGACTATAGGCATGGGACTTTTCAAACTTCTCTTGGCAGATTAATCATTGCAATGTTTTTGGAAGTGTTGGCAGTTTGAGTGCAGCATGTAGCTACAAGTCAAGATAGTCTCAAAGACATAAATCAATATCATAAAACATGATCAACAAAAAAAAAGAATAAATGTTAGTTAAAAACAACATAAAAAACTCTGACTACAAAGAAAAAGTTGGCTGAAACCTCACACAATCACAACACTGGGATTCAAAAAACAAACAATGAGGATTCAGCTTAAAAGATGCAAAGAGTAAGATTCGCATATAAAAAGTTTTCCATATCTCTAAGGCCTCTACATCTTAGAATATGCTGCTTAATGGGCGATAAACAACTCCATCAAGAACCTCTATTATGTCATTAGCCAGCTAAGTTAGTAACATGCAATCATCACAGTATGGAACCAATTTGGCTCTCCTTGAAAAGGCAAGCATTAATAAAATGGTCCACAAATACCATAGTCTATTTCTTATTATTATTTTTTTAACAGTGATTGAAACATCTCTTTTGGAAAAAAAAAAAGAGAGAGGAAAAGGCACAAATCTCAATTTAAGAAAAAAACTAATCAGCAAAAATAAATTCAAGAAACACAACAATTAGCAAAAAGAAGTTCAAGAAACAAAAATATTAGCAAAAATAAATGAGTTGACACCGCAAGAAAGGGAAAAGCATAAGAAACCAACACTTTACTTATTTTATTTTTTTTAAAGCTGAACCGCAATTATCATTCATGTTTTGCTAGTTACAAGATTACAACATCACGAGTTACATGAAAAGCCGATGTGATGTGTTAGTTGGGATGAAACTCCCTCTTTGTACATGATGTATATCCAGAAGATTATCACTTTAACCTCAATACGACCAAGAAAAATGAATGGCCAACCAGCACTTTACTTATGGATAAGAGATCAACAACCAATTCTTGTTTTCAAGAAAATAGAAATATTTAAACACTGAAGGCCGTTGAACACAAGAACAAAACCCTAAGAATCAAATTTAATAGAAAAAGATCAATTAATAAGCCTAAAATAAAATTACCCTTGTAACAACAGAGCTGTAGAGAGACTTTGACGCCAATCACATTCCTTTACACAAAGGGCTGGAAAGCATCCTCTCTGAACACTTAGACACAGATAGTAACTTCGAATAAAAAAATTTCGGCTCCATTAAATGATATCTTTCAAATCTCAAGTACTTCTTCGCACTTGGCCATAATTTGACAATCCAGAGAAATCAAATCCTCATTACATTTAGCCCACATTACAATGCAATTAAAATTCCTTGTAAAAATTCTTTTTAAGAACAAGAAGTCAACAATATCCTGAGGATTCTTCACCTTTCGGAGTTAACTAAACATTACTCGACTTATACAAAAACCCAAGACAAAGAAACATAGGCGATTGAACACAAGAACGAAACCCTAAGAATCCAATATAATAGGAAAAGATCAATTAATAACCCTAAAAAAAAGGAACAACAGATGACCAAAGATTTTAGAAATCTTTAATCCACTCACCTTTCAAACAAGTTAGGACCATTAGAGAAAGCAACAGATAAATAAAGCCGAGCGAGCAGAACATCTCTATAAATAATTTGGCAATTGCGGCAGAACAGTTTCTTTCGAGGAGGAAAACCTAGATCATTGTCAAGGTGGTCCGCTTCAACGACCAGAGACCCTACGAAGAAGGCAAAGATCTCTTCGTCCCCCAATCGTAGATCAAATCCGATGGCCTTCGAACTCTCTATGAAGGCCAAGAGATAGAATTGCTGGTTATTCATGAGGGTGAACAGACCAAGGCCATCGATGTCACTGGACCCAACGGAGCCCTCGTCGACGAGAGGTGGCCGCGGTGGTTATGGGTTTTGTAGTGGCGGCGACGGGGGTGGGTATGTGTTTAATCGGAGGAATAGTAATTGCTACCGCGGCGGTCTCTACGAAGAAGGCGAGATCAAATCTGATAGCCTTCGACCACTTGTGAGGAAGAGAGTTTCAGAGAAAGAGAGAAATTCAAAGAGAGGGAGAGAGAGAGAAATTCAAAGAGAGAGAGACAAAGGCGAATATTTTTTTCCCGTTGGGACTTGGGAGGTATATATAGAGCGATTTTTATGGGTGGGTGAACCTGATAAATGGGTCAGGCACGGCTTTAATGCTAATTAAATAAGAATTACATCTAGACCCCTACAATTTGTTATTTAATTACTTAAACCTCTAAAATTTAAAATATTACACGCAAACACCTAAAATTTGTACGCACATAACCTTAATATAATTTACTAATGCATATTTTAACTGACATTGACGGCAGAGGTCTAGTGTTACGTGCGCACAAATTTTAGAGAGTTTGTATGTAATATTTCAAATGTCAAGAGACATAAATAATTAAGTGACAAATCTTAGAAAGCTTGAATATAATTCTCTCATTATTTTAATTTATCAAATTAACACACTATTCTATTTCATTAAATGAAAAAAAATTACCCTTCAATTTAACCACATTAATATTTTGTTTTCTCAAATCAACTTTCAATCTCGTCAACTTAACATTGAATTTTTAAATTAACATTAAATTTTATTAAATTAATATCAAATTAAAATAATTTTACTAATTTAACACTAAATTAGCATTCAATTCCATCAAATCAACACGAAATTAAGCTTTAGTTATGTCAAAATAATTTTTAATTTTATCTAATTAATATTTAATTGTTTCAATCTTATCAAATTCATATTTAATTTTAACTAGTTAATATAAATTTTATCAAATTGACATCAAATTAATAGTCAATTTTATAAAATTAAGGCCAAATATACATTCAATTTTATCAAATTAATATTCAACTTCTTCAAATTGACTTTCAATTAAAAAATTTGTCAAGCTAACACCTGATTAATATTCAATTTCATTAAATTGAGTTACATGTGCTGGCTTAGAGACCAACTCTTCTGTTAAATAAGAATAGATGATGAAACTATAGTGGTGACATCTTGTTTTATATAGAAAGCTAAGGGTAAGTTATTGATGAAACTATATTGTGAAATCAAAATCATCCTAATAAAACCAAATTTTTCATTAATCAAAATATGTCTAAGTTTGTGTATCTGGATGTTTGATGAGATAACCATTACAATGATGTCAAAAGGATGGTTGAAAACTATCGAAATAACGTTTCATATTCAACATTACAAAACTATTCAAATATCGCCTCTAATGACTTTAAATATTTCATAAGATTAGTAAATATGATATCTCTATACAAGAAAACAAGATTCACGAATGAATCCGAGTTCTAGACTACAAAAAAAAAAATCAACATACGGCACTTTGAATTACACTTGGTAGGTGAAATCACGAATTGGATGATGTCGATGAAGGAGCTCATTTAGATCGTTTGTGTTCTTAAATCGAGGAACTTTTTTTAAGGCTTCAATATAATTAATAAGTAATTTGTCCCATTTGTTTTGTATCTCGCCAATTGCACCAAACATATCTCTATAAAGATTCTTGTCCACCTTATTCTTCATGCGTTCATCATCAGAGAGCCATCTTGGAGGATCAAAGAAGAGCCCAACACAATGCTCCATTCTTGATAGCTCGTAGCCTCCACCAGTCATCATTTCCTCTTTGTTTGATGAACTCAAACTGTGCAGCGAGAAGAAGAGTATGATAGTGATGATCACGACAATGAAGCTGATGATCATGTATATTCTTCTTGGAGTGTAGGACGCCATGTTTGATTGATATAGTGTATAAAAATTTAGACTTAATTGCGTTAAACTATATTAATGAAATTTATTTGACTCTAAACGCATTTTTGTTTATCAAAATACATGAGTAACTGTTTGGTGTATTATAAAATAATTATAATTGATTGGTATAAATGTAATCATGTTATTGTAATGTTGATACAAAGAGAGATTAAGGAGAGAGAGAGTAACAGTGAGAGAAAATAAGAGAGAAGAAAAAATCAAATCAAATCTTCACATATTTGAAAAGAAAATAAATTGTTCGATCTTATACTAATTTTGTTTCATATCACTCTAATAGATAGTTTGTATAAGAAGAATAAATAGGGGAGAGAGAGAGGAAAATGGAATTGATAATTCAAATATCCAAACATGTTCGAATTTGTGAATGTGCATGTAATTGGTTAGATTCATCTGAACATGTATGGCTTCATCTGCTGCACAGTGATATGGTTGCCAATGCCAGAGAGGAGGTGAATAATGGATCGTCGGACCTGTGGGTTATGGCTCCAACACACTTTCACTGCACTCTAATTTGGTGCCCGGACTTGTAAGTAAAGTGATTCCCTATGCCTATGGCAAGTGATATTATACATTGAATATTTTATGAAATTACTGATCTAACCATTCACATTGATTTGATATACAAAATTTGATAAATAATTTAGCCAACATAACATTGCTAAATTATTTAATGGAGCCAAATCTTTTAATCAACATTTTTTCTTTTACAAATTGAGATTTTCTTATTTCCAGGCCCAACGACCAATTTGTTCTGAAGCAGATGACAGGTAGCAAGGAACTCATTATAGTTGAAGACATGGATGTCTCCTCCAGGTGTCTTAATCTCATTGTAAGTTTATTCCAGAGCAGAGTTCAAGTTCATTGAGATTGAGGCTGCCATAAACACGGTATCTACCTCACATGAATAGCTTAAATATCTAAAATCACACAGCCCCGTTTTGGGAGCAAAACCCTTTAGCAGCTCTGCTCTATGGTCCTTTGGAAGAACTCCGGCTAAGGCTATAGATTTAGATCACCAGTTCAGATCAAAAAGTTTGATCCCAAACAGAAACGCTCCATCAGTTGGTTCTCCAAGAATCTGCAACTCATGAAAGCTAATACTGCCAATGCAAGAATCTAATAGCACTGGTTTGTGACCCTGCCAAACACAAGATGTAAACTGCACAAGCAGCAGTGAACTCACATTGCCTCATTTTTCCATGCTCTAGCAACTAGCGTTTCAGTCTATATATGCGATTTCCAATTCTTATCACTGAGTCCGCACCAGGAACACAAATCCAGGCTGAAAGCCTGAAACTCCAAGCTCAAGTACCACGTGCCCAAGTCTGGGGAGCGATGAGATTCAAACTCGTAACCTTAAAATCTAAAAGTAGAGGTGATGGTCATTAGACCAACCACTAACCTCAGTAAAATAGGCATAATAAACTCATTTGAGGCAAGCTAAAATCGAGTGGCTATCAATGTTGTGCATACCTTGATCAATTACGTTAGTTTCCTCAGTGTGGCTAACCATTTTTTTTTTTAATTATCTTTTCTTCGGTGTGGCTAACCCTTTTGTCCACTGTTGAGTTTCGTAAACGATTAGGAAAACTTGAAAAAAGTTTCATGGAATTTTATTTTCCATTTGTTTAAATGGCAAACCGAATGGAAAGGACTAATTACTACATTTTACATAGTTTAAGGTTTAATACGAGACAATTCAAAGTTAAAGAGACATGAGTTAAAGATCATTTATAATACAATACCATATTTTACGCGACATTTGACAAGTTAATTTCCCCCCCCCCCCCACAGGAGAAACTGATTACATCATAGTAATGTGTTCTCGTCCTGTAATCACCCATTGTTTGGGCTGTCAAAATTTGACACGACATAATTAATCGATACGAATTAAACGAATTTTAGTGAGATCTTAATAGATTTGGGTGATAAACGGGTTGACACGCTAAACACGTTTAATAAATGAGTCGTGTTCGGGTGAGACATGTCAAACAGTTTATCATGTTTACCCGTTTAAATAAAATTAATATAATAATAAATTAATAATTATTTCAAAAAATTAACCAAAAAAAAAGAAGTGAATAAATCAATAAAAAAGAAATAAATAAAATACTAATTCAAAGACAAAAGAGAGGAGATGAGAAGCACTTCAAAGACAAAGACAAACCAATGTCTTTTATTTTTGTCCCATATTAGAAAATAAGGGGAGATGAAGAGGGTTAAATTGTCTATAAAATACAATGACCTCTTACTTCTTTTTTTTAAACTTTTAAATTTTATTTTTATAAAATTTGACTAAAAATTCCTCTTTTTTAAGGTAAATGCAATTAACAATAAAAAAAATAAAATATAAAAATTTATGAATATAATTTTTTTAAAATTAAACGAGTTAAACAAATTGTGTCATATTACCCGCTTATTAAACGGATCATATTTGTGTTAAAATTTTTTACCCGTTTATTAAATGTGTCGTGTACAAATTTATATATTTTCCACCCGTCACCCGTCACCCATTTAATCTGACACGTAATCGTTTAACCTAACCGGTTTGACATCCCTACCCATTGTGTTCTGTTTAAGGCAATGTTATCAACTCTTGCATACACATATCATGCAAGTAGGTTGTTCTTAATACGTTACACACGCGTAGGGAGCATTGAAAATTTGAATTGTACAACATTTTGGGGGAAGCATAGCATTTGATTCATAAATCAAATGAATGCTAGGGAGAGTGTCAATTTAATAACTCGGTCCAATAATATAAATTAAACCAAAAAATTTGTGAATGCCAGAACTTATTGTACTTGAGATCCACGGTGGCACACTATTGTTCATCCTGAGCCACATTAACTAATGCTCTGGTTTGACAATTCTCTCCATCATCAGGAATATCATCACCATCGTCATTCTGCAAAATAACATACACCAGAAAAACTCATTAATTACTGCAATCGAACATCAAGACAAATAAATTCATATCGACCATAGGACAGATAAACATTACAGAATCAACTAAAACCTACTTCCACCATTGTGACATGGTAACATTTTTTTCTACCAGTAACCATTTATTACTCTTCAACAGCCATTGATGCCTGAATAACGCTGTTCATACTTAAAAGGAAAGTTTCCCTTTCACAATCCAAAATCATACCTTCCTCGCAATGTCTTAGAAACTACTATGCTAACAAATTCAGGATCTGAGTACAGGTAAGGAATTCAGCGGAAAATTCCTTGCTAATGTACATGACCAGGGTATTTCAGATTCTTGTTATTATTCTTCACTTGTATTTAAAGTTTCATGTACATGTATCTATAATGCTTAGTTGTTCACCTCAAACCAATGGTGAAAAAAAATCCATTTGTGAGGCAGCAGATTTTATTTTACTCAGCCACACAGCAATGGATTTGTTGAAAACAAATATGACCAACTGTCTGCAGCCTGAAGATGCAAACTTAAGGAATCCACATACCTTTTTATTTAGACCTTGGGTTGACATCAGTTCATAGAACTTGCGCATCAACATTTCTTCCTCTACCTACAAAAAATCTCAAAGTTCACACATGTGCACAAATTTATATATTCAACCACGCGATAATTATAACTTCGTGTACTGCAAAAGCAAACTATGCTATCAAAGTTTTCAGGAATTATTAAAACTATATCTTTCCACAAGAATAAGCTCACAAGTCAACTTCTACCTGCCTTAGAATTTATGTGAAGCATATTTGTACAGAGATATACTACTTTTGAGACACTATGAAATGTAATAAAAAAATAATGCAATTTGACACCTTTTTCAAGCTTTTACTTGCAATACTTATATCACACACAATCACTCTTTTTATTAATAAAATTGTTGTTTCCTATCAAAAAAAAAAAAAACTTATATCACACACACACACAAGAGGTTGGGGAGAGTAGGACACTCAAACCCGCAATCAATCACAGGTTGGGATGAATGAATGATGCTGGTGCCAATGGGCCATCCATGTCTTCATTTCTTCAACTTTGGATTCATCGATATTTACCTAGTTTTTTAACTAAAAAATATTGTCCACAATATGCAACTAATACATATATTCTACACATAGATCCAGACGCAGACCAAATAATTGAAATCAAACTAAAGATTAATAGAAAAACCTGAAGCTTATGCAATTCATGTGACATTGATCGATAGGCATCCATAAGCAGCTCGTTCTGCTTATCCAAATGCCTGCGTAAGACAATAATTTAAACAAAACCAAATTATAAACAGGTAAAAATAAAGATATGTACCACCTCCACATCAAATTCAAGGAATATGATCTTTGTATGGTTTACCTTAACATCTCTCCTGAGTATCTAGGGTCCATTCTCTTACGCTTTTTTGACCTTAACTAGTGAATGGCCAAAAACCTCGTCCCCAATGTGAACTGTCAGATATTGAATTTCCCCATTAAGAGTTTTTCATCAAAATTCTCGGTTCAAAATGATAAGTAAGCAAAACCTAGTGAAGAACTGTTACTAAACCATTCAAGTACCACATTCAATTTCTGAAAACCCTATATACAGAAACAAGAAAGCTAGATGAAAAATTAAGTGACAACCAAACCAAAGCAGTTAATGCGCAATCACCCATAAACGATCGGTGAATCGGATACACTATCTATTCAAAATAAAGATACATCACATCGGCACAACTGTAAATACAGAAAATCTTGGAATAATTTCAAAAAGTAATGAAAATATCAATCAAATTTATGAAAGTAATGAGTCTCGTAGAAATTGCTTGCCGGGTTGAAGAACTGCAGACACCTCTCTCTCTCTCTCTCTGTGGCTTCGATTTGGGGTTTCTAAAACCCTATTCGTCTCGCTTTGTAGCAGTGAGAAGAAAGGTCAATCTTATTTGACATAATGGGATGTAGGTATATTTTTAAAAACTTATTTGGTTTTAAATACTACATTTAAATTTATT